ATTATCCGGGAGCTGTCCGGGAATTATCCGGGAGCTGTCCGGGAATTATCCGGGAGCTGTCCGGAGCTGTCCGCGGAGCCGGTGCTGAAGGCACCGGGAAGCGACCACAAAGGCGGCCGCGGGAGAAGGAGCACGGGGCAGCAGGACAGGCCCCGGGGTGGGCAGTGGGATGGCCAGAGGGGTGAGGGTTGCCCTGGTCGGACCGTGGGAAGGAAGAACCCCTGGGCAGAGGCTGGAAAGGGAAAATCCTTTGGTGGATGGTGCAAAGAGGCAAGCCTCGGAGAGCCTTTGCAAAAGGGGAAAGCCTTGGATAAATGACTCAAGGGGGGACCCCGCGAAGCGGCAGCACAGAGGGAAATGGATTGGACAGCTGGCACAGAACGGGAGCCGTCGGAGAGCCATGGCACTGGGGAAACCCTGGGGAGGGTGGAGCAGGGGAAACTCAGGGTGAGCCAGAACAAACCGAGAGACCCAAGTGGGTTCACAGGGACACTCCTCGGGCAGAGGGGGAGGCAGGAGAACCTCGGACAGTGGTGTAAAAACTGAGCCTTTGGACAACAAGCACGAAGGTGGAATCCTCGGAGGAGCCACGCAACGGGAAACTCTCGGGCAGGCTGCACAGCTGACAGCTGCACGTCTCGGCTGGGCAGCGCGACGGCGAAACCCTCGAGTGGACTTTGCCAAGGGGGAGCGCTCGGCCAGGGGCGTCCCGGGGGAGAAGGGGTGCTGGGAGCAGGGGAAGGAGCGCACCTGTGAATGTTCATCTCCCGGGGCGGGCGCCGCGCCTTGTCGTAGGCCACCTTGGCAAAGACGCCGGCGATGAGCACGAAGGCGATGGCCCCGCACGAGATGTAGACGGTGGCGTTGGTGCTGTCCTTGTCCGGGTCGTACTTGTTGGCGTCCCCGTCGCCTCCGTCGCCGCCGTCGGCGGGCAGGGCGCCGCTGGCCGTGGTGGGGTGGGCCCACTCGGGGCTCTTGTAGTTGCGGCACAGGCTCTGGTTGAGCTTCTCGGCTCGCTTGTTGCAGCAGAAGCGGTAGAAGCAGGTGCCGCAGCAGTAGCGGAAGCCCGTGAGGCTGTTGTTGCACTCGAACTCCTTGTCCCACTGCCCGCTCACGTCGTAGTACCCCCAGCACGTTTCGTGCGCCGGGGCCGAGCCCCCGCCGCCGCCCCCGCCCCCGGGGGCTGCCTTGCCGCCCCCCGCGCCCTTGCCGCGCCCGGGCAGCGCCGTGGGGGCGGCCCCCGGGCCCGCCAGCGTCTGGTTCAGGAGCTCTTTGCCCGGCTTGGGGGTCCGCCGCGGCGCCGCCGCCCCCTGGGTCCGGTTGCCCTTGGCGCGGGGGGGCCCGGCCGCCTGCGCGGGCAGCAGCAGCAGCAGGGCCAGGAGCTGCAGGGAGAGCAGGAGCAGCGGCAGCAGCAGGTGCCGCGGCCCCATGGCGAGGGGCGAGGCGGGGGGCGCGGCGCGGGGGGCGCGGCGGGCGGGGTGGGGGCTCAGCGGCCGCGGCGCTGCCCCATGGAGCGGGGCGGGGGCGCGGGGAGCGGCCGGGGGTTCCCGCTGCTGCCGCCGCTCTGGCTCCTCAGCGGCGGCTGCCCGGCGCCGGGCGCTTCATGCCGGAGCGCAGCGAGCGGCGGAGCCCGGCGGAGCGCGGCTGGAGGCGGCGGGGTCCCGGCGCTGCTCCGGCGAGGGGCTGCGAGAGACGGGGAGAGGGTGAGAGCGCGCCGCGCCCGGGCAGCCCGGCCCGCCCCCGCCCGCCCGCCCCTTGCCCACGGCCTTACCATGCCGGAGCGGGACTGCAGCGGGGCCGCGGGGCTGCCCGCGCTCCTCGCCGAGCCGGGGGCGGAGCGGAGCGGCGCCGAGCCGGGCGCGGAGCAGGGGCGGGCGCCGAGCCGAGCCGGGAGCCGGGGAAGGACCGCCCACCGCTGCCGGACCGCTCCTGACATCACCGGGACCGCGGCGCGCCGCTCCGCCGGCACCCCGGCACCGCCGCCGGCCCGCCCGGGCAGCGCCGGCCCTCGGGGAAGGGTCCCGGGGCGGGGGGTCCGGGTAGGGCCGGGGGGTGCGGACCTTGTGCGCGTCCCCCGGGATATGGTCCTGGCAGGGGTGTGGTGGGTGGCCACCGTACCTGTCCCTGCTGGTCTGAGGAGCTCCTGGCAGGGATGTGGTCCCTAGAGGTGTGTGAGGGGTGAGGATCCCATTCCCGTCCCCGGGGGTGTGGTCCTGGCAGGGATATGGTCCCTAGAGGTTTGTGTGACCCTGAACCTGTCCCAGGGCAGTGTCCGCAGCACAACTTGCTGCTGGGCGCTCAGTGTCCCCAGGGCTGTCCGGCTCCCCTGCCCTGCCAGCCCTGCACAAGCTTCCCAGGCTTCCCAGGGATTGCAGCTCCAGCCGGGGGCTGTTGGCACCTCCTGGGAAGGTGCACCGCGTCCAGCTAGGTCCCAGTTCCTGCTCCCCGATGTGCCCGGCGTGGAGAGAGAGCAGCACCCCCACCCCAGCCTGATACACTCCCCACTTTTTCCAAGCGTTCCCCCTACAGGAGAGCTCTGGGATGCTGCGAGGATGGGCTGGCACTGCCCTGGGCTGCCCAGTCACCCGGGCACAGCCACCACAGGTTTGTTCTGAGCAAGATCCCTTCCGGCACAGAAGCTTTCGCTGCTGTGAGCCACGGCCAGAGAGGCAGAATTTCCTCAAAGTCCTGGTGCTTCCCCCGTGTCCCACTGCAAACCCAACTAAAGCCTCTACAAACATTTCCTGGAGACTGGCAAGGTGTGAGGACACACAGGACAGCGAGGAATCCCAGCGAGGGGGAGATGGGAACTGAAGGGATCCCTGCAGCTGCAGGGCAGGACAGTTTTCAGGAGAGCAGGGAAGGTGTAGGAGGAAGAGAGCAATGGAAAGTGAGAACACCCCCTAAAAATCCTGTCTTGCACCATGTGGGAATCATTTCCTCAAGCTACCAAGGTCTGAGTGCCCACAGCTCCCTTGATAACTCCACGGGCTGAGGTTGGCAAAGAAAGCTTCAGCTCTGCCGTGGAAAGCTGCTCTGGTGCTGGGAAGCACCTGGGCAAATTGAAAATCCCTTCATTCCTCACAGACAGTCACCCCTCATGGAGTTAAGGGAGGTGGGAAATGAACGCCATGGGGTCCCAGGGCTCAGCAGTGCCTGACCCCAGACTCAAACCTGAGGCAGAAGAAGGCAGACTGGGGTCAGCGTGGCCACCCAGGGCAGTCTGGGCTGGTTTAATTCACTCACCCCTCTGAACCCCCCTGCCCTGAACCCAGCTCCTCTGGTCCCTCCTTGGGGAAAACCTTCCTGAGTGACCTCCAAACCCTGACACCAAAAAGCAGATTTGACTGATGTAGGATGGGATTTCCAAACGGAGCCTTCCACATGTCCTCATCAAATTCACCACAGAAAGCATCTTCAGCCTTGGGCTGCCTTGGAACTCTGTCCCTGCTTCTCCAAGGCTTTGCAAAGTGTGGGAGGCACCCAGATGGAACAATCCGTGTCCTTCCCTCACCTGGCTGCTCCCTGCACACCTACACAGGAACGAGGGCTCTGCAGGGGCTCTGCTCAGGGGAGAGGAGCTGCCACTCCAAAAACCCAGCGTCCTCTCCCAGGTGGGTAAGGCTTCCTGCTGAAGCAATCCTTGGGGAAAAGATCCCGTGTTTTTGAGACAGAAACAACTGGCAGACTTCTGTCCTTACACCAAGCGTTACAAGGACACAGAGAATGCCCGGTGGAACACTGAGTGTCAGCCTTTCTGCCCCACGGGATATTTGGGGGCTGAGATTGGCTTTTTTCCTCCGGAACTGGCTGAGCCTTGGACTCCTCTGATGCCACCACGGCTTTATCACACCAAAGTGACGATGAAACCCCACCCAGACGCCTCTGCCTCCTCCTGCTCGATTTCTCAACACCACCGAGCAAGCTAAAGAGGGACAGAGCTTCCCTGGATCCCCGCTATGATCCCACTGCCTTGCCTGGAGCCAAAATACGGGAGAGAAGAAGCCGAAGCAAATGTGAAAAGTAGGAAAGAGTCCCCAAGGAGCAGCGTTGGATTTCTGGGACTTTCCTGGGATTTGGAGCCGCGTTTCTGGCTGTGGAATGAGGGACAGAGGCTGAGATGCTCGTGGGAGAAAAAGCCTGTGCTGCACTCCCCCCGTGCCGCGGAGCTGTGTGACAGTGACTCCGTGACAGCTCCCCAGCTCCATCCCCGCCTGGAAGTCACTCCAAAACCTCCAGCACTTTCTCTTTTATCTCCCGTCCCATCCTCCCCAGGTTGTTTTTGGCAGCGTGACTGTTCCAGAGCTGTTTTCTTGTTTATCTTCTTTGGCGGCTGCTTTCATCTCCGTGCCGGAGCTGCCGCGGCTGCAGGCGGGGAAGGGAAGTGCAGGTTCAGAAACTCCCGAAATCCAATTCCTCCCCTTTAGCCCCTTTTCCTGCCGCCCCTCACCGGCCTCTGATGACTTTGTGAGGAGTTTCTAATGAGCCTGATGCGCTCAAAAGCTGATTCCTCCTCGTCGGGGGATTCAATTGTGACCGCGAATCTTCATTAAAACGAGCCCAGCACTTTGGACCTAATTTTTCTTCTAAAATTAATGTAGCTACAAAAAGCTCCTAATGTGAGTTTGGGGGATTATTTCTGTGGAGCTGGATTCCTTCTCACTCGAGCAGGAATGGGTGGATCCCGGGTTTGTTCCAGGTCCAAGCCAGGCTGAACAGAAAGCAGGGAAAGGCGAGGGGAGCAATCAGGCTCGGGGGTGGCAGAGCCTCACACAGACAGTGCCAGATGTGCTCAGCTCCTCCTGCGGCTTCTGAGCAGCTGCCTCAAAGGACAGGACAAGAAACCAGAGCAAACCAGGGCTATTTCACTGCTTTTCATGGTGTATTCTCTGCTGCCCGAGAGGATTCTGTGGTTTGTATGGTTTTGTACAATTTGAGGAGCCGGGATTCTCTTTCCCCATGGGAACATCTTGGTTCTTTCTCGCTGTTCCCATCCCTCAGCCCAGTGGCACAGCTCTGTCCTGCAGCTGTGACGTGTCCCTGTCTCCTGCTGGCTCTCAGGGGCCAGGGACAGATATGAGCTGTGCCCAGCTGTGCAGACAAGGTGCCACCAGCACACCTGGCAGAGGTGCAGGGACTTCACTGAGATGTCCCCAGCACTGGCCAGGCACTTCAGCAATGCACTCACTACAAATGGGGCCATCTGCAAGTGGAAGACAAAGGAACTTCTGCAGTAAATGGGAAATTCCTCATTATTTATCCAGCTCTGTTCATGAAGAAGTCTTTAGAAAGTGCTTTTAGCACTGCAATTCTGCAAAACCCTAAATTTTCCTGATATCCAACCTAAATCTCCCCTTTTTTTGTTCAAAGCTGTTCCCCCTTGTCCTGTCAGTCCAGCCTTATAAGTCTCCTCTCCGTTTTTCTTGCAGGCTCCTTCCCAATATTATCAGGAAATCCAGCACAAGGGAAAGCCTCCAAGTGTCCTCTGCAAACTGTGACATCCCCTGGGGATCCAGGGAGAAAGAAGGGAATGCAGAGACCTCAGCATGGGTTTCTCTTTCCTGTGTGATTCCTCCAGGCCCGTCAGGCTGGGACAGATAATTTCATCAGCTTTGGCTTCCTACCTTTGTTTGGGGCTTCTCCAGGGTGGAGGGCGGCACACACCTGAGGGTGACACCTGCCCAGACTATCAGGGGTTAATTTCCTTTATCTGGCTGCATGTGCCCAGAAGGGAGAGCAGTGTGAGCTTTTCTTTTCCGTGTCATTACAGTCCCTGCTGGCGCTTCCATCACCAGTGTGGCACAGCCTGTCGCTTCTCTCCCAGCCAGGCACTGCTCCCTCAGGGCCCCACGGATCTGGTTTTTCCCGGGATCTGGCACACCCAGCAGCGACTCATCCATCCAGATTGCCCAGCAGCCCCAGGCAGCCCGAGGCAGGAGGAGCCGTCCCAGCCAGCAGAGGAGCAGATGGAAGGAGCCAGGCTGAACATGCACACCTTGCACGGTCGTTCCCCAGCCAGGGCTGGATGCAGGTGATAACTCCAGCGAGATGAGAGCAATTAGCACTGATTTGATGCTGCCTCCAAGCCCAGCAATGTGGAACTCAAGGAGCTCCCAGGCTCTGCAGCCCAACCTGGCTGTGTCCATCAGCCAGGCCACCACGGCCAGCTCAGGCACAGCCAGCCCTGAGGTGACGTGAACAGGACTTTTCCTTCCCTCCAAACATCTTCCACTGGCTCTGACTCTTTCATCTGGTTGCACTCATTTAGCAGCAGAAACCAGGCACTCAAGGCCAGGCAGGAGGGCATTTGCAGCCTGCCAGAGCTTGGGTGGAGTGTGATCCCAGAGCTCATCCTCTCACAGCTCACCCAGGGCTGTCCCTCACAGCTGGCTGGGCAGCCCGAGGGACATTGATGCCATCACAGTCCTGGTGCTCCCTGGAACAGGGAACAGCTGGGCCAGGGGTTTTGGGTTGGATCTCAGGGAAAGGTTCTTCCCCCAGAGGTGCTGGCACTGCCCAGGCTCCCCAGGGACTGGGCACGAGGCTGCCAGAGCTCCAGGAGAGCTTGGACAGCGCTCCAGGGATACCCAGGGTGGGATTGTTGGGGGTCTGGGCAGGGCCGGGAGCTGCTCTGGATGATCCTGGGGGTCTCTTCCCACTCAGCAGATTCCTGGATTCCAAGTGCAGGGTTCAGGCCATAAAGACACAGGAGTTTTCCAGGAGAGCTCCTGCCTGCTGCCACCCCCCCGCCCCCAGACCCTGTGCCAGGCAGATTTGTCCAGAAAGCAAATGAAGCTCCTCAGGCATGACAGGGATTTCAGAGAATGACACATCTGCTCTCAGGCTCCCCAAGTCCCTCTGTTTCTCTTTACAGGTGAATTTTATACCTCTTCTAAAATCCCCAGGGACAAACCAGTTCTTCCCAGTCGTTCATGGGCCAGGTGAATGACTGGAAAATGGGAGGATTCAAAAGTCCTTTGAATAGAGCTGAGAGCTCTCTGAAATCAGGATATTTTTCAAGGTTGAGAGGGAGACCAAA